AAATAGAGGACAGGCGGGGTGGGGGGGGTTGGGCTGCCCCAGGTTTACACTGGAGGCGTTAATGGCTCAAAAAGGAAAGGATTTGCTTAACGACATAACTGGCGTTTTGTAGCTATTTGAAAACGGATCCTTTTTTTCTTTAAAGTGGGGTTACTTTACTAATTCATGCATGGTACATTTCAGACTGGAAGGACAGGCCAGCCAGGGGTGCTGTAGGGCTCTGGATCCTTTGGCGGCGGGGTGCGGAGGGGGAGGAGAAATAGACCGCCCCTGCACTCCCCTGTGAGAGCAGAGTGACACAGTGACTGGGGGTACAAAGCAGCGGGGGCCCCTTATTCCGCTTCCCCCAGCCTCTGCTGGCAAGTGCAGGGGTGTGTGGGGCAGTGGGTCCCTGCTGCTGGCCCAAGCCTCCGACTTTGGTATTTTCCCCAGGCCGCCTTGGTTAAGGGAAGAGGTGAGGTAGGGGGAGGAGGCAGGGGGAGGGTGGGGCCTGCAGTGGAGGGGGCTTGTCCCAGCCCTTCTCAGGGCTGGGGGGCTCAAATGTCTGGTGGCCCCCTGGGTCCCCACTTGTGTTCCCTCTAAGATTTTCCAACCATGAGCGGAGTGAGTTTTGGCTTGTGCACCAATATGGAGGCCATGTGCGCTGGTTTGGATGTGTGCCACCGCAGCACCCAGTTTATTAACACCCACGCTCGTTCCCGGCTGCCGGAGCAGAAACCACCCCTCTTCCCCCGCCAGGCAGCATGTCCCGTTTCCAGCCACGGGAGCAGCCTCCCCCACCTTCCGCCAACCATGTAGCAGGTCCCGTTTCCGGCCTCAGCCACCAGAACAGGCCCCAGACCCCCGGCCATGGGCAAGTCCCGACCTCCCCCCTCCAGCAGCTCCCTCACTGTGCCGCCTTAGTCAGCCCCACCCACCGGAGCAGCCGCCTGCCGCACGGCTCCCCAGAGGAAGTGGGTGGGGAAAGAATTCTTTTGTGCGCAGCCGTGCAGGCGCGCACCTTAGCAGGAACTATGGTTCCCCCCCACCGGTTGCCTCTAATTGGGGGATAGAGTTGTGGACGACCTCCCCCCTCCAGCAGCTCCCTCACTGTGCCGCCTTAGTCAGCCCCACCCACCGGAGCAGCCGCCTGCCGCACGGCTCCCCAGAGGAAGTGGGTGGGGAAAGAATTCTTTTGTGCGCAGCCGTGCAGGCGCGCACCTTAGCAGGAACTATGGTTCCCCCCCACCGGTTGCCTCTAATTGGGGGATAGAGTTGTGGACGCTGGAGGAAGTGCTTTGTGGGGTACTCATGGGGTGAGAGCAGCGTTGGCCACTGTCACAGGGGACGGGTGCCGGTACGGGAGGCTGGAGGAAGTGCTTTGTGGGGTACTCATGGGGTGAGAGCAGCGTTGGCCACTGTCACAGGGGACGGGTGCCGGTACAGCCTGAGGATGCAGTGATCACCCTGCGTCAGTGCCTACCTGCGGGACCAGGCCTTGGGTGGGTGGGATCGGGCAGCAATCATAGAATCATAGAATAATAGGACTGGAAGGGACCTCGAGAGGTCATCGAGTCCAGCCCCCCGCCCTCAAGGCAGGACCAAGCTCCGTCTACACCATCCCTGACAGATGTCTATCTAACCTGTTCTTAAATATCTCCAGAGAGGGAGATTCCACCACCTCCCTTGGCAATTTATTCCAATATTTGACCACCCTGACAGTTAGGAATTTTTTCCTAATGTCCAATCTAAACCTCCCCTGCTGCACTTTAAGCCCATTACTCCTTGTCCTGTCCTCAGAAACCAAGAGGAACAAATTTTCTCCTTCCTCCTTGTGACACCCTTTTAGATATTTGAAAACCGCTATCATGTCCCCCCTTCATCTTCTTTTTTCCAAACTAAGCTTCCAAACTTCTTTTTATCCATCAGCTGCCAAGGCAGGGGCATGGTTCTATCTGCTGTGGATGCTCACTTGGGAGCTCACTTACCCCACGGGGTTGCCTGTCCCCCTGACCCAGCAAAGACTTTTTCAGTATGAAGTATAAATGGGCGGGGGGGGGGGAGTACCTCTGCCCATCTCCCCTTCCCCATCTCTACTCATTGCAGCAAGATCGCTTGAAAGACAATAGGAGCATGGCTGAATGGGAGGGGAGGGATTCTAGCTGGAAGTGTGCGCCACGGAGAAACACGATGCGGCGGGTCAGGAGGGCAGAGCAGGCTGCTGAGCTGCTCTGGCTCCTAGTGCCTGTGTGGTGTGTGTGTGGGAGGGCATCTGCTGTACCATGCCCCCGTCATCCTGCATTGTTCAGGGGAGAGGGGAAGAGAGAGAGGTAGGGGTGGGGCAGATCCGTGGCAGGATAGTTTCCCAGGGCCCTACACCTGGGGGTGGGAGACACAGTACACCAAACCATGGGACGCCCACATCTTGAATCCTGTGTACAGATGTGGTTGCCTCATCTCAAAAAAGATATATTGGCACTGGAAAAGGTTCAGAAAAGGGCAACAAAAATGATTAGGGGTTTGGTACAAGTCCCGTATGAAGAGAGGTTAAAAAGACTGGGATTTAGAAAAGAGGAGATTAAGGGGGCATAGGATATAGAGGTCTATAAAATCATCACTGGTGTGGAAAAAGTGAATAAGGAAAAGTGATTTACTTATTCCCACAATATAAGAACTAGGGGTGACCAAATGAAATGAATAGGCAGCAGGTTTAAATCAAACAAAAGGAAGTTTTTTCTTCACTCAGTACCTAGTCAACCTGTGGAACTCCTTGCCAGAGGATGTGGTGAAGACTAGGACTTTAACAGGGTTCAAAAAAGAGCTAGATAGATTCATGGAGGTTAGGTCCATCAATGGCTATTACCCAGGAATGGGGAGGAATGGTGTCCCTAGCCTCTGTTTCTCTGGAGGTGGGTGACAGGAGAGGGATCACATGAGGATTCCCTGTTGAGATCCCTTCCTCTGGGGCAACTGGCATTGGCCACTATCAGCAGACAGGACACTG